GGTGGACCTTGGTGGCCAGGCTCCGTCATCTGCTCTGCTCAGTCGTCCCTCGGGAAGGGGCCCTGGCTGTGGGGTTTTCAGGTAGCAAGTAGCAGTTTTACCCTGCCTTGCACGATGCGCATTGCTGCATGCCAGCCCTTGATGTGTGATGGGTTTCCTCTTGGAAAGAAACGTCCCTTTTTTCTTTTCCAGTTCTTCAGAGCGCTGAAAAATGTCAGGTTTTCTTGAGAGCTTGAGGTGCTCGGAGTGTGTTGACTGGGGAGAGAAACGAAACACGATCGCTTCTGTTGCTGCCGGAGTGCTGGTACGTACAGCTTCTTTTACGCTGCTTTTGGGCTTTTTAGATGTAGTCAGCTGTCGATGAGCTAAAAATTATTAGCCGTTTGGAAGATACAGGGATACATTGTCCTTGTATGCAGCAGCAGAGTTAACGACAAAATCTGTTCTGGGTGCTTGCATCCACGTGTTACTTAAGTTTCGCAGCTTTGACCCGTGTAGTAAGTTTTGGAGTAGGTAAATCTCTGGCTTTGCAGTTAACCTTGTTCCTAAGTTCCTAAGTTGATAGCAAAACTAATTATGCTATCAGTTGACTCTGGGTTGGAAATGGTAAGAATGATTTTATATGTTAATGTTATTTTTTCTAGAGCATTCTTATATATTGTTAAAAGGCTTGTGTCTGTATTTTAAGCTGTTGTGCTCTTTCTTCTTTTTTAATAGTTTTTTACAGGTTGGTGGATAATCATAGATGCAGCTGTAAAATACCCTAAAGTGGAAGATTTCAACCATTCATACCATGCTTGTGGGGTTATAGCCACTATTGCATTCCTAATGTAAGTGTAATTTCTTGATCAGAGCTACACACTCCTAGCATGCACTTTATGCAATTAATAAAAGAACACATCGTCTTTAAATGGAGAGGTAACTCAGAATAACATATCAAGCTACTATCTGAGTATCTCTAATATCTTTCTTACATTTGTTGATATTTATAGTGAAAAAAAAACCATTTAAAAAACCATTTAAAAAAAATTAAGCATGTAGTACAGGTCCAAGCCTTATTAGTCTTTGGAGAAACACTTTTTAAGTTTTAGCCTTGTCCCTCTTTTAAAAAAAAATACCAAAACCCACAACATCATCCTTTTTATATAGGTTTCTGAGAAGTTTCTCCTATTGTTTTGTAAACACTTACTTCTTGCTTAACCTGTGTTTACCCAGTTTTATCCTGTTTTGCTCGTACAGGATCAATGCGGTGTCTAACGGACAAGTGCGGGGTGACAGTTACAGTGAAGGCTGTCTAGGACAAACAGGTACGGTGGCGTCGGCTGTTGTACAGTGACAGATCGGTGAAGCCTTTAAGTCTTGGAAGAGTTGTAAGAGCTGTACCAGCGTGCACGTTGTGTATCTGTGCATAGCTCTGCATGCGATAGAAGGTGCTCTGAAACAAAAGCATGCCGAAAGTCACAAGTGTCTGTCCTCGGGCACAGGCGCAAAACATCCCTACGTCTTTTTCAAGGTGCTCGGATCTGGCTGTTCATCGGTTTTATGATGGCTTTTGGATCTCTGATTGCTTCTATGTGGATCCTTTTTGGAGGCTACGTTGTTAAAGGTAAAATAGAGCATGGAATGTGACCCGATCCGTTTTTGAAAGTTTAAAGTGTTTTAAATTGAATTTTAGAACTTATTTTTAGACAGTTTCTAGGCAGGCCCAGTTCTAGTATTTTGGTTCCCTACGCACCACTATTCCATACTATCTACTGTTCCTGAGATGGATTTTATCTTCTTCTAAGTCACAAACTTCCAACTAGCCTCACTAGAAACACAGGTCTTGGTCAACCGGGAACTATACTGATATAATTAAACTGCTGCAGTTACATGGGAATAATTTCCTGGGTGAACACTTATTCCCAGAATAAAAATTACTGATTTCGTGCAAGTTGCTCCCAAAGCCTATATACTAAATCAGTGAAAGGGAAAAAATAATTCAAATTGCCTATGTAAATTCATACCTTAACATGTACCACGGTAACTTTTTGTGAAGGCAAGTCTTGAGAGAGACATGAAAACTGCAGCGTATTAGTCTGTGTTTTTCAAAAGGAAGTTAGGTCACTTAAGTAAAGGTAAAGATACTACTTGTACCTGGAGCTGAAGTGAATTTCTGACTAGTCAGGGCACTTTGGTGGTTTTGTTTGATTTACATTCTCGTCAGCTTTGGCCTTATCAATTCACAGGGGATTTTCAAGGAAACCTACATGCATTAGTTGCATAGTAGTGCTAATGTGCTCTCCCATTTTGTATATTGTCATATTGTCATTATATATATGTATATATACTTACACACACGTGCATTCCAAACAGGATGTGCAATCGCCTGTGATAATTACACTCTTCATGAGCATTGCATTTGAGAGGCACGTTTTTGGGTAGAGAGCAGGAGACGCTGCTTTTATTTGGAAAGCTAGATGATTTTGGGGGGCACAAAAGCCATTGAATTCACTTTCCAGTGGGGTGAGGCTTGTCTTCTGAGTCACACAGCTGAGCAACAGAGATTGGAGGGGACGGTCTCGTTAGAGAACGAAAGGGGTCCATGAGCTGCGTAGTGTTGCCTTAATTCCACGTGAGAACAGTCTGGCCTAGGCAGATTTGTTACGTACGAGCAACAGCACAAGAGTTTGCTGCCACTTCACCCCTGCACCTAGTTGGGAATCCGACATTGTAACGGACCCCTCTGTCTATCTCGGCTCCTTACCACTGTTTCACAGCGCATAGACTCCAAATGTTCGTATTTAAATGAAACTGGTTATCTTTGCTATCAGCGCAACTTAGTGTTTCTGAAACGTCAGAGATGGGGTATTCTTGAATGTGACTTATGGAGATTTTTTTCTTTTGTTAGAAAAACCAGTAGTATACCCAGGAATAGCTGTGTTTTTCCAGAATGCGTTCATCTTTTTTGGGTAAGACTATCTTCCTTTTTTCATTTCTTACCTTATTTGTTTATAATGATTAAAACTGAAACTTGCTGTAATCTGTTTTTTCTTAAGCCCTGTTTTGTAACTAGACACGGGTGAATAAACTGCTGGTAGAGGCAGTGGATCTCTGGGATCCGTCTGCATAAGTTTCATTGCAGGACCAGGAGCTGGATTTACAAATACTACAACTTACTCCTTGCAGTGATGTATTTAAAATACTAGGTATTGTATTTGCTCCGTTACGTACTCATGAACCTTTATTCTGTTTTAAACAGAGGACTGGTCTTCAAATTTGGTCGCACAGAAGATTTGTGGCAATGAACACGCCTGTGGAAGTGCATTGGCCATGCTGTTTTTTTAACTGCACACTCCCGAAGTTTTGTAAAACCATTTTGTAAGCGGTGACCTTCAATTGTGTCTAAAGATAAAACAAGGAAAACTTAAATCATAGCACTAAAAATTCTGGTTCTATTCTGTTTAATTTTTTTACTCTTGTATGTTGATTTAAATGTTGCAATGTTTTTGACAAACGTCAAATTGCTACAAGTAACAATGGAAGTCACTTTTATGATACGATGTTTGCTACAAGTAAATAGTATAGTGGAAAATGGATATGCTTAACCAGCTGTTTCTATGATGTTATTTACAATCCAAGACTTACTAAAAATGCTTTAAAACAACTTTTTAACATATATTTATTAAATATTTCCTATATCTGGACAATATAACCATTTCTTCAATTTCAAAATGTACTGGTGTGTGGCTTTTCTTGCATAATATAGAACTATGCTGCTCTGGGATTTGTTTTTCCCCCCCTCCCTGAATATTTAATTTTTCCTATGATGATAATGAGGAAGTCTCTGGTGAGTAACAACTTACTGTTTCTGTCACACTGTAGAGTCACAAGTACAAATGATGTAGTGGCTCTAGATGGAAGCAGCTCATCCACAAACTTTGCAGTAAACTATTTTCTAACTGCTGTAAAACAAAGGAAGAGTATTCTTCAGACCAGGGACAGTCACTGCCGGGGAGAACTTTCATCCTGTAGCATACTCGCTTGAATGGTGAGATAGCTCTTCCTGTATCTGCCCCTTCCTACACGTTCACCTAGGCTGGTTGCTCAAGAAATAAGTGATAAAACACGTGGGGAAAAGGGAGAAAAAAAAATACCATTCCGTAAAATCACTCCTGCTAGAAAGCAGCAGAAGCCGTTTGCGTTGCAGCAGTTATGTTTGGTTGGTTGCCGGCAAGTTAAGCAAGTGAAGCGCGCAATCCGAGCCTGGATTGCACTACTGCACAGGTCGTGAGGAGTTGTCAACTGGGAGATCTGCAAATGCGTTAGGGTGGATCCAGGCTGAGTGTCGCTGCCAGCGGGCAGAAGCTGTGGGCAGCTGATCAACTCAGGAGATCGCTGGCTCTTTTGTGACCTGGAAATAAGAAAAACTGGCCCTTCCTCTGCAAGCAATTTTTCATTACTTGAAACCTGTCTCACACGTCTTTAACTGTAGCGATCTACTTTGCTTAATCCCTAATGAATGAATTGAGGTCAGCGAGCACCAAAGGTCTCATGCTTTGTCTTCAACGTTACATTTTTCCTCATCACTTCATTTTTACGCAAGTGTGCTGAATAAATAAAAACAATCAAATTTTGACTTTTTTATTAAGGAAGCATTTTTGAAAGAGTTTTTCTATGTCAACTATTTTGAAACCAAGAAGAAACGCTGCAGATCACAATCCATTTAAAAACAAGGGTTCATTTGCGCAGAATCCTCTGCCCGACCAGGCCCTCGCTCGTGCGCCAAAGCCCCCTGCTTGTCTCAGAGTAAAACAGCCCAACGTAAGACACTTCAGAAATCGGGTTAGCGTTGGTTCCAGGCAGCACCGAGGACTGCTCCCCAGCCTCTCCAGTTGTCCACACCCGCAGGGCAGCCAGAGCCTTTTGGGCAGCCGACCTCGTGGTGGTGCAGACTGCCCCTGCGCAGACAGGCTGTTCTGCTGCCAAACCTTAAACATGAGTAATACCACTGATTTCAGGGGTGCCATCCGCAAGCAAAACAATTTAACTTCTTGCCTTTTGAACTTCCATATAGCTAGCCTGAGCCAAGTAATTACAGATTTTTCTTTAAGCAGTCAGATAACTCAAAGAGCTCAGTCTGGCAAGATGCGGAGTTCTGGCCCTGATCCAGCTCACTCATCAAATCCTTGCTTAACAAGGCCTTTCACAGAATTAATTTAGCTTAAAAACAAGTACTTTAACGCTTCGCTAGATAAGAATGAGTATGTACTCCTTGAAAAATTATACTTTAAAATACATATTTTGGCTTTTAAACTTGGGAGCTAAAAATAGTTTAAAGGTTCCAAGCATTTTGGTTGATAAGCCATCACAGCAATGAATGCAGCCAACTTTTTTGTACACATCCTACAAAAAAATATTTAAGGTAAGACCAACAAAGCAGAAAAGCGAAATGCATTATAAGTTTGCATCTGTAAATTTACACCCTGTATCTTTTAAGAATAACTAGAACAGTTTATTACTAATTTTTCGTGTGTCTATTGCGATGGCTTTTTTGAGCCTGAGAATTGACACTTAAGGGCTCTTTCAACCCATCACAGCTATTCATTTTCTCTAGTGACAAAGAGGAAAAGCTTATCTTGGTCAAATCTGCCATGTGGGTTCCTCCATTCAAAATCCAACAGCCAAATGGGGAAACTGTGAAGACAAACATTCTTGTATCAGAACATTTTATGCATCAAAATCATCATACGAAAAAGGCAATGAAAAACCTTATCAGAAGCTTATTTTCATCCATTTCTGTTTTCTGTAATTCAGATACAGCATCACATTCAGCACCTAAAGGTGCCCAAGGCCTGTGTTTGTGCATCAGACTGAATAGCCACTCTGCAGCCACGAAGGCCAGGAGGCTTGGCCTGTTTTCCTAAAAAGCACCTTCCATTCCACTCACTGGCTTCTAAAAATCCCTCTCTCAGATGCTGCCCAAGTCTCCTCAGAGACTGTGTATGAAGCACGGAGGCTGGGGCTGTCAATCCCAGAGGATGTCTGAGCACCTAGGATTTCGTGTTACAACAAACGAGATCATTTCAAATTTAGCCCCGTGCCCACCAACGGCTCTGACAATCCTAGCTGAAGGCTACATGCATTTATAGTGTTCAGGCTCTGAGTCAACTGTGGGATCGGTTCATCCATTTCAAACAGGGCATCCAAAACGTACTGTGAAATGGAATTATCCCCCTTTTTTTTTTTTAATTCAAATACCCAGAGTTCTTCATCAAAGTCAACAAGGTGCTATATATACTCCCACACAGTTAATTTTACATTGAAACTTACCTCCCAATAAAACTGGTCTTCAAAGTACTTTGATACAGGGACGGTCTTAAACAGTTTGAGGTTTAAGATTAAACCTATTTGTAAAAACACATGTATCCAATATAAATATATACATCTGGGAAAGGGGAAGATTGTGTGTAACTGGAGGTTTCTTAGTAACATGCATCCAAAAGTAACATAGATCAAAATACATATTCAGAACTAAATGCTTCAGCAGAGCCCCTTGACTCAAGTTGACCTTAATACAAAGAGAGAAGCTTGCCAGGATCAAGACTTGTGTTACTAAAAATTAATTACTCCAGGTAAAACCCCATTAAACAGCCTGCCAGATTCTAAAAATACATCAAAAATCATTAACTTTTTGCATGAAAAATGCCTGTGTGTTTAAAGCAATTGGGCTTATCAGCACTGTTAGCTTGGGTTTTCAGATGGAAACATCTAGATTTTTAAACAATTGGTTAAACACTGAATGTTTGATTATTTTAGCTGAATGTTTTTTTAAAATCTGCTTCATTAGCTCAGCTTCTTAATTACACTTAAGGTAATGCAAAGGTTGCAGATCAATTAAAGCACAAAAAAATCATTTTAGAGTATATTTCACAGCAAGTTTCATCCGCCATTCCTCTTTTATTCAAGACAGAATTAACAGCTACTGAAAAACTGCAGCTGCCATAAACCAGACAGAATGTCACATGAGAAACACATGAGCCCTGATGATCCCAGACCACTAGTGATCAAAGGCCTAGGGCTTGGCTGATGCAAGCGAGCTACTGACATTAGTGAAACTTCGCAGATTTATACCACTTGGCCCAAAAAGTGAGAAGCTCTAGATAGCATTTTTCTGTCACAAAGGCAATACCCAAATGTAAAAACATTTTCATCCTCACACATCTCCTGTCTGAAATTTGAAGGCAGCCGTTAAGCATCTGTTAAAATAAACTTCACCAATAAAAGAATGGTGCTACTAGGTTATTTATGTTGAATACATCTCTTTCTTCAAAACACTGGCTTTGAAGAGTCCCTGGCATTCAGGCTTCTTCTACAAATAATTTACCCGTAGAAACACACTTCAGAGCCCCAGTTAAACTGGCCTCTTTCTGCAAAGGGTTCCACTGATACCATAGCAGGAGCAATGACATACCCCTTGCCCTGAGGAAATGAGGAAGATATTTCTGAAACATGTTTTTCAATACTGACCTGTAATAAAACCTGTTATCAAGGCAACACTGATGGTCAGGCAGAAGGCACCAACGTGAAGCACGACCAAATAACCCAGTCTGAAAAGCAAAACAAGTGTTGCTTTTACAGTTGCTGAATTTAGCATTAAGACTGAATGAATCTGTATCTACACAGCATTTTACATCAAGATCTCTCATAAAAAATTCTGTTATTCTTGAATCTCTCTGCAGCTGCAGTTAGATGTTTTAAGAGATCCTATCAGAAGCCTAATACAGACTCCAAAGGACATATTTTGCCCTTAGAAACCATCATTGTGGTACTAAAACGTCACTACATTTGTTTGTTTCAATAAAAGTATGACAAGAAGCGTAAGGCCCTTATGCTGTACTGTGATTCATTCCTGCGTAAGTTGAGAAAATCAGAGAACTTCTTGTATGACTCGACATGAGCTTGATTTGCAAAAATGAAATGCCAGTGCCAGATCAAAACAACCTATGCCGAATATCCTTAACTGAGCCTTTCAGCTTTTGCAGGGTATCTCCCCAAGCATATTTTTCAGTTCAGTGTCCGGACTAGCTTTAGTCCAAACTGGCATTCTTGCCCCGACTCAGAGTTAAAGCCTCATTCAAAGAGAAATGCTGATTTCTGTCCCCCCCGTATTAGCATATAAAGCTCCCCAAAACACATCACAAAAGCCAAAATGAGTCTTGGAAGGATGCACGTCCCTAGCCTTCATCTCCTATGTCTGCTATATTTAATATCAAATAAAAAGGGAGAGGGAAAACAGGACCAAAAGCTAATATTAAAGTTTTGATCCAAACTCTGCTCAACCCTGAAAGTCTTTTTACTGACTTTTTTGGACTTCAGAGATTATCTTAGGTTATCTGGTATAAAACGATTTATCTGTGATGACACTTAGGCTTTCTGTATGTACGAGAACTCTTCTCAAGACATACTACAATAATGATTAGCTAAGCTTATTACTTAATAGCAAGAATTTATGTACCTTGTTAAATTAGTCCAGTTTTTTATTACTAAGAGAATGACCTGGGCAAGAGCTCCAAGCACACCAGGCAAGCCAAAAGTGAAATGAACTCCAGAGGAATCATGAATCTTGAGAGCAGGATTCAAGCATCTCTGGGAAGAAGAAAAAGTTTAATTGATACACCGAAACACAAGTCGATAATAGCATATTGTCCATCTCAGACCTAGAAAACGAACTTTGGTCTTGCAATCCTGCACTCTGCTCAAAAGACTTCAGGTTTCCTAGCTTTAATCTCTTTGAAAGAGAGGTTTCCCTTGAGGTATCTTTTATTGGAAAAGAAGTTTATACAGTTTATACAAAAACAATTTCAGGTTTTGAGTAATACCTGTAAACAGTAAGATCCTAATATGGTTATCACACTAGCAAGCAGACCCAAAATCATTGCAATCCAAGGATACTTGATACTGTGTGCTGCATAACCAACAGTGACCCCACCAGCTAGTACTGCGCTGTGGATGTGAGTCTGTAAAATAAAACAACAAAACATGGAGTGATAATTCAGTCATCACTTATCTTATAGCAGCCCAATATCATAGATTGCTATTCTCATGCAATTGCGATCTCTTTAGGGTGAATTTGGACCTCTTATACTGTAAATTACAATCTGAGAACATAATTTCTAAGTTACAGCTTCAGCTTGGGAGGCTAATGACGACTGTCAGGCTGAAAACTTGGATTTGTTTTTACTTAATAGCTATTATACTTTCAGCGTATTACTGAGAGTAACAGAAAAATATCTTCTCCATGCAGTGATTTTCTCTCATGTCTTACCATTCTGAATTTTCCATCCTTTGTGGTCAGAACAGACAACACGAAGGCGGTTACAGCACTCACTGCAAGGGCAAAGTAGGTGTTGCAGATTGCTTTGCTCTTGTCTTTTCCAGCTAGCACAGAATTGAAGCTTGGCCAGAATACCCAGAGAAAGAGAGTGCCTTGGAGACAAAGACAAGCAATTATCATTACCTGCTCTAAAACACAGTGAATCCATCACCAGCTGTCTCTGGAGAGCTCCAGCCCACATTTTGCATTCACTATAACTCCCACATTGGAAACAAAGGCTAACACTTCACAGTGCAGCCAGCCCTGAGAGTTACCTGCTATACCAACACCTTCGCAGAAACACACCACTGTAATGTCAAACACACAGTCCAAGCACAGCTCTACTGGCATCTGGCTGGTCCTTCGCCGGGCTGAAGGCAGAATGCTCATTTCAAGAACACCTTTAACATCAGCTTTTCCTATCTATTGTCCCCTTAAACGCAGGTTCAGATACAAGTGGGAACAATTCCACTGTTGATTTCCAAACAATCAGCATCCTGCCTGTTCTGCACAGGCACCAGGAGCTTGCTCCTTGGCCAAAATTTCTGCTCCTTTTCATAGAACTGTGGAATAACTGTTCAAAACCAGCTGCAAGAGAGAATGAAAGAAAGCCAAGGAGGAAAAGAAAACAGCTCACATGGTACAAATCACTCTAAAGAAACCCAAAGTGCACTTTGGAATGTCTTTTACCTTGGCTGCCAGTATGACAAGTACCGTTTGTCTTGCCTCCTGGCAGGGTTTGAAGAGAAAAAGAGGATGAACTGGATCACAAGAACAGAATCCTCTCTACCTCTACTAGGATTACTCCAGAGGAGGGCTAAAGACGAATAGCTTGAGCTGAGGTGATCATGCTTCACAGCTATACACAGCTTAACTTTCTTGTTATTTGTGAAAGAGTTATCTACTGAATGGCTACTCCCTAGTATACAGGTCCAAAAGAACAATTCACTTTCCTCCTGTAAGATCACTGTACAGTGTCACACTTTCATGACCACACAGGCTTGACCACAATAGGAATGAAAACAGGTTCTTCTGCTTCTGTGGCCCTAATTGTCAGCGTTTAGGAATCTCAGCCTCTATAAAAAAAGTTCACTGCTTGGCAGGACACACCTTTTCCTATGTGCACATGCATAGATCAAATTCCAACCAGCAGAGGGAAGTAGGTGGCCTCACACTAAGTCAAGCTGGACCACACATTGCAATCTGCCTCTGCTCCCTGAGTTGCTCATAGCTCTAAGTGCACAGATGACAACACAAACAAGCAACAGTTTATTTTGCCTTGTCCAGTCATTATTTTTTGCTGCCCAGTCAACTTCCATAGCTAATGTTCTGTTCTCCATGACACAGAGGTACCAGACCTGTGTTGTGCAATTCACCTGACAGTAAAATTGGAAGTGTTCTTGTTCATTCAAGTCAATTAAGAAGTGACAAAGGCATTGTCACTATAAAGCACAATGGTTAAATCCAGCTTCTAACAACTCTGGCAGCTACTGCTTTTGTACAAGCTTATCTTGGCTCCTTGAAATCCAATTTCCATTGCTAATTTTCACCCTTTCAGTGCACCAAGGAGGTGACAACCAGACAGGATATTTGGCCCATTAACCTTTATTTGATCTGAAAAACTGACAGGCTTCCCAGCAAAGTGGGAAGCCTGTCATGTTCCTAGCTGGACAAGTCATGTTCCTAGCTAATGTTTTCTGCAAGTGGAGTGTTATTTCTATCAAGGACATCCCTTGGGAAACTGGCTTCTTCACAAGTTCAGTGCTTGCAGCCTATCCAGACAGTCTGGACACATTTCTTCTGTTTCGTTTTTTTTAGCAGTACTCTCAATTTGTGGGTAATTCGACAGTCCTAATCTTGGCATTGCAAGATGCTGGATGCAGGTTGTTTTCAGTCAGTGCTCTGAGTTCACTCTTAAAAGACATTTGCGAGGCTCACTACAGCATATTCACTACAGCAACTAATGTGCTAAGTAAAAAGCATTTGCAATTTTATCCCAAACTCAAACGCAATACTTTCGGAGAGTTGCAGCCCTCAGAAGCAGGGTACAAAAAGGAACTATGAGGAATTTGCCTGCTCAGTTGCTCCTTTCTACCCACGTTACCTCTGAATTATTAAAGACATGGCAATATAATTACTTTAGATAGCATGCACTTGTTTGTAGCAAGCTGCCCTAAAATTATAATGAAGGTTAGTGTCTTGAGGAGCTAGATTAAAATACTGATTTCGTCAAATTCTCCAGCAAAGCAAGAACTCCAGGGACTCAGAAGAGCAGCATTTATTTTTGGGCTAAGACTGATCAAGAATTAGACTCTGTGGGCCTTCACAGAAAGATCTTAGTTCGGCTGGTGGCAGTTACATAACAGAAGTCACGATAATAAAGAAGCTGAATTGCTTCTTTAAGAAAAAGAACGGAACTCCCATACATTCAGCCTATCATCACTCAGATCCTTTCTCGTGTGCCTGTCTGTATCATATTCCCCACCCTTCATCAGGCTTTTATCTTTTCATTTACATTAGTAGGCAGGGACTGACTTTTTATATCTCCGTACAGCACCTTGCAAAACAAAACTGAGCCTTGGCCCCAGCTGGGAACTGTAAGCACCACTGAAATACAAGTAATGGCCACAACTTTGGTGCATAGGTCCCTTTCCAATATGCCTATACAAGTCCAAAGGGGACAACTTAGCTGGGAGAGGGAACGGTTAACCTGGCATAGCCTTTATGCTGAGACTGACAAAAGCAAACTAAGCCACAGCCGTTGCAGGAGTGGCTTAGATGCCTGGTAGGAAACGTGCTGAGACTCACCAACTCATTGTCAGAAACTACGAACCACAGTAGCAGCAGATTTCTATGCTTGGCTGCATTCAGACCTGCACTTTGGATGCAAAAGCTTCAGTGTGCTGTGGCCGGCGCCCAAAAACACTCCTTACGTTCTCACTGCAACCCCTTCTTCCAACTGAGATGTTAAAGCAAATGCCTTACCCAACATTGACAATAAATCCGACTTCGGAGTACTCGCATTCTTCTCAGACCTTGGTGATGGCTCAGAGAAACGTGAGGAGACTGCCAGACCAAAGTAGGCTCCAAACAGGTGAACATGCATCATGCTGATATTGTCTGGAACCTATATCAATAGAATAATCAAATCTGTGGTTTATTTCAGGCCACAGGAAGCCTTTGATGCAGTTCCTGATAGAGTTGCTCATGTAATGTCCCTATAAGCAATTTATTTTCACAGTCCCTCAGTTTATGCATGAGTTATTTATGCGAGATTAACTTATCTGAATTCAATGCAGGTCATAAACACACAATTCATATACAGAGGGTTTGGGGTTTGTTTACATTGTATGTTAAATGCAGGTCCGACGCTGCTGTCCAGACTGGGCTGGTATACCATTCACACTGGAAATCTTCCAGACTGAACTGACACAGGGAAGGGGTAAAGTTTAAAGGCAATTTAGTGCCTTAGCATAGGTCAAGGCTTTCATTCATGTGTTGGGAATGGTCAGGGCATGGCCAAATGCACTACATCCCAATCCATCAGATCAGCTCACCCTTTAAGGCCAAGAATATAGATATAGTCAATTATATAGATACAGAGTATGTAGGGTTTGGAGTTCAATGACCTTAAGCATAGTCCCAAAGTCAGACTTCATCTCTTATTGAAACCATAGCCACAATCTAACTGAGATGGGATAAAATACACTGATGTTCCTGTCAGCAGAGCACTAACAAACCACCAAAAGGCAACATTCCAAAGTCCTAGTGAAATTTTCCCCCATGTGCCTGGAAATCATACTACAATACCTGCAGGAATGTGTTGTTCATCCATCTGCTCATACGGAAAACTGTTATCTCCACAACTGTCATCACAATGAATTGCACAGGATTAGTCTTCCCAAGAACAGCTCCAGTGGAGATGACCACAGCAGTTATACTCACAACAGCCTTTGTTATTCTGCAACAAAAGAAAGGAAAGAAAAAAATAATTCTGCATCAGGACCATACCAGGGCCAATAAAGAAAGAATGACAGACAGTAAAATGTACTTAAAACCCCAAAGTCTTATAAAATGTCTGCAAATATGACGATGCTAATTCACAACTAGGTCCATACAACACGGCATTATCCTCCACAAAGAGCAACCAGCAGTTCTAGATTATTCCAATTCTAACACGAACTAATCACCTTTTCAGACCATCTTCGTTTTCCCTTTGAAGAAGGAAAACTAATAAACCTTCTATCAGCATGGAGCATTGGACACCAAGCACAACGATCAGGAGGTTGAATCCAGTGCTGCTAAACCCATATCTTTTCAGAAACATCAGGAAAAATCCAAATCCAAAAATCACCATGTGGTTGACATCTTGAAAAGCTGCATGACAGAAAAGACCAAGACAGCAGTGAAGTTATTAATGCAGACTGGATTTTTGGTTAAAAAAATAATTTAAAAGATCACAATTAATTAAGAAGCCTTCAGATAAAAATTCAGGTGCCATCATTATTCACTATTTGTAAAGAATTCCAGAGCTTTCCTTCCAATCCATAAGTAATCAGAAAAACAATACCCTTGACCCTGAATTTATTTTTACAAAGTGATCAGAATGGATGCCATAGGATGGGGGTTGAGGGGTCAAAAAGCACAACAGACATGAAGTACGTTTAGCAATGAAATTTGGACATTCTTTTTTCCAGAAGTGAATTTAAAGAGCTTAAGTTGAACTTTTCACGGACAGTTACTGTGAATTAGTGCTGATTCATTCCTTGAGAGCATTAGGGAAGAAACGACTTACAATGAAAAACCTGTATGATGTCCTCATCTGGGTAGAAGGAACAGAAATAGCAGTAGAAAGAGTTTAATATGGAAACCAGGACCATTGCATAAAAGGCAGAGGCTGTCCAAGAGACAAGCTCTTGGACCTGTAGGCCTGGAAGCGTCCCCCAGGACATGCTAACAGTCATATTCTCATACGGTTGTGCCGGCCTGTACCTACAGCAAAATACCAAACTGCTAGTAAGTAGATCTCATTTTTCGAGCTATAAAACAGGGAGGGTAACACAAGAATGTCATGAGGATTAATCAGCTCATATTTGCACAACACTGTAAATACGTTGCACGCTATGGCCGTAGCATAATCTGCTAATACATTTCTTTGATCAATGCACAAAATACATCTCCAGAATATATTTAAACCCTTAATTCCACTGTATTAACTTAATTTATTTACATCAAGCATTCAAACGGAAAATATTGCCATCCTGAATTCTTATTTTGTAGCACAACAACGCCTTTGCATGCCAAGACCTCACAGAGGTTAGGCACTTAAGACAGAGCAGTGCCTGCCCTCAGAAGTTTGTTACGTTCATAGGAGTCAAGATTACCACAAACATGGCAAGGTAGAGTACTTAAAGGGCAGTAAAAACATTCTACTTCTCACTAACAAATACACAAACCTGCTGAATCCCATCTCTGTTGCACTGCAAAATAAAAGCAGGCATTTAACCCTTCCTTTCACAGCAAGGCTGCCGATCTTACCTGGGTAGGAGATGCTTGATGTGGATGCACCATCATCTGAGAACAAAAAGTAAAAGAGGACGATGAAAATGGCTTCCAAAAAAAGGATTAGCCACGGCACGCTGTTTCGGAAGTTGCGGTAATTAGAAGACATTGTGCACTAGACTACATTAAGCACAAACACATTAATATTTTTTTCTATAAAAATGTTCCAGTAACCTCAAACCAATAGAAAAGTAGGTGTGGGGGGCAGGAATAAAAACTCTGACAGATAAAAAGCCCAAGAGGCCTCAGCAAGGAACAGTTCCTTATCTGTGGCACGTCACGAGTCCAAACTTACCACAACTGACATGGACTGAACTCAAAAAGTACTAATGAACACAGACATATCAAGCTGTCAGTACTGTAACGCCCCAGGATACCATCCATACAGTACTTCAGCTGCTGTTGAGCCTTACATATCAGCTAAATGGCAAGTAAAGAAGAGCATGGGCTCACAAGAGTAGGATGTTGAATTTAATGCAAAACCATTATCTATTTACATTGCTCGTATCCATCCTAGACACAAGTCCCTTCGTATAAAGGTCGAGGAAGGTCCCGCTGAGATTCTCAATGTGATTCTCGGCTTGGTTAGGCTATAGCTCTACAGCCGTGTCCCATGTTCTCATACATGATGAATCCAACCCAACGCCAGAGAATCAAGAATCTCTGGACATGTGAAGGAGGTGTAGCATTTCCCAGCTACTTGGAAGATCGGTCTATTGCTTATAGTATGGCTATGGAAACGGCAACAGTGAACACTCTGGAAGACCTTGGTAATCCCCGGGAAGTCGCAGGCAGACAGCACCATTCCAAGTGCTGCAGGCTTTTCATGAGACCTACACCCTCCTGATTCTTTCTTTAATTCAGACCCAGCCTTCATCCAGAAGCGTACCAACTTCTATTACCACATTGTGGCTACACAGTACCCGTTGCCTTATGGGTTCTGAGCCTTTTGGTAAGGCACAGGCTTTTTTTATTTGTTGTTGTTGTTGTTTTTTTAAACCAGAAGCCACAAGAGTGGGCACATGAGCCGGGCTATATGGTGGAAGCTAACTACGTTCAGTATATCCCCCAGGCACAGACATCATAATTTGTTAGATAAGATTATTTGGTTGATTATTTGAATCCATAATATGAACATTACTATCTTCTCAGTATTCACTGTGCGTTTGGTAAACTGCTTCTTTGTTCAGGTAGTCCAGGAGATTAAAGTACTGTAATCATGCCTCAGACTTTCTACTCTGAGGCCATTTCAAAGCGAGTGCTGTGCTTGCATGCTGGGGTTTGAGATAGTAACAATGCATACGAGTGGGTAGAAAGCCACCTACTGGTGACAGAAATAGGTATCAGACAAACACACATGCAGAAAAATTCCAGTTCACTTATATTTTAGAACATTCCTCCTGCAAACCCAGGCTATATGGCACAATCGTAGTTTTCAAGCCATCTGTGAAAGGTTTGCATTTGTGGTGATAACTTGCACCTTCCTCACACGCAGTATCAAATTGCTTTACCAGCTTTTTCTTAGGCCTAATAAAACCGTAAGTTAAGCATGCTTACCCCCATTTCAGAAACTCCTGAACAACTTTCAAAGGACTTTCCCAGACGTGCAGAGCACTGCCCTGACTTCAGAAAAATCCCGATGCAGAAAGATCTACATTCAGCTCCTTTTCACGGGAATTCTGTGATCATGTGGGTAATTCACACAGAACCAGAATGCCTGGTGAACTTTCTCTAGACAAGAAAAAGGCAACAGCTGAAACAGCAAATTAGAAATTGATTTAGCTAACGGATGCAGTGTCTTTGCGTGGTTTATAAATGCGATATATCTAATTAGCTTTCATCTGTTTCCTGCAAGACAAATGGGTTTCCTCACGGTTTCCACAGCCCAAAGGCGGCCAGAGGCCTTGGGGCGGGGGCTCTGCCGAGCGGCCCCGGGGTGGGGAGGCCCAAAGCCCGGGCCCTGGGCCC